TCCTTCATAAAAGTCGCAGGAGAAACCTTGAGAAATCACCTTTAGGTTCACTTCTGCACCAATACAGTCCCCTTCTGAATTTCTGATCTCGAATGGGAGGTCTTAGAATGGCCTTAAAAAAATTGCACGCTGCACGATACTGCAAGGAGCCTGGCTGGCCCCAGGGCTGGCTGCAGAGCCTCTGCTGGGTGGGAAGCCAATGACAGATCCTCTGCCATTTCCAGCACGCTAGGGGAGCAGGCCTGTCTGGCTTGTTAGGGAAGGGGTCACTGTGCTGGGCTCTTTCCTCCGTCTTTCTCATCAATCCCTCCCTACATGATCACCTTCAGGTAGGCAGCACTCCTGCCATTTCATGGATAAGGAAACACTCTCTTAGGTCATCTTCCTGGTCTCATTTAATCCTCATGACAATCCTTCAGGACATATTTCTTCACTCTCGTGTTTTACAAAAAGAGACAGGAAGACTGAACAAGCATATGGTGGAGCCAGGATTCAAAGCCAGGTTTCCTCCACTTCAAAGCCCAGGGTTCTCCTTGACTGCCTCTCTATCTGAAATGCTCAAGAGGATCCCGTCTACAGGGATGCTTTCCACTCACAGCAGAGAGAGCAGTGGGCAGGTTTTAAAGGGCAAGTCACGTTTGGCCAAGAACACAGATCTTACCATACAGTAGATATTTGATAAATGTTGACTGAATTGAATGTTTTTATACCCTGAGGAAAAATTTCCTCCAACTGACAACAGTGATAGCTGTCTGCCTTTATGTGACAAAGGAGGCAAAATTTGAGACTATCTCAATCATTCAAAACTTATGGTAGAGTCATTAAAAGTAGCCATAAAATAAATGGCTTCATATAATAAGGCTTGCTGTAACATTATTAATTCACCCTTCCCTGAAAGGAACTGAGTGTTATAAACTGACGGGGAGACATGACATCTAAATAGACGGTCTTGCTGTGCCAGAGTAAATATTAAATCGCATTACCCGACAGTCCTTGGGGAATGGCCTTGCAATGTCAAGACCACGGGAAAATGATGTGAAATCAAGTTCACAGAAATTTGACTTCGATGTTCAAATGAATGAATCTCTCTCCTTAAGTGTTTACAGGGGTTGTGTTATGATCAAAAATGATTACACGATGATGAGAAGATCTATGAAGAGGATGGAGGTTAAAATGGAATGGATTTCACTCTGTATGAGCCTATGACCACATTTACGCATCCCTTCAGCAAGCAATGTTCAAACTTACTACATGCTACACACTGTGTGGGGTGCAGAGGTACAGAAAAGGCTGGGGGCGTGTCATCCAGGAGCTCCCTGTCGAGTGCGTGGTGAGTGTAACGGAATCGTGAACAGGGCCCTGCTGGAGGGAAGGGGAAGGGCCTTCCTCCTGTGAGGGGCACTTGACATTTGTCTGAAAGATGCGGAGGAGTTCGCTGATGACGGTACGTGGAGGGTTAAAAGGGTACAGGTTTAGCAATGAGAAAAGATAACATGTTCAAAGAAGATACGTATCTCGTATGCTAGAGCTCAAGGCAAGCGTGAGCTGGTGGCCAGAGATACCATGGAAGGGCAGGCAGGGGTCGGCCCTTACAGCATCTTTTATGACAGACTTCAAATGAGCTGCAACTAGATTAAGAATTGTGTTCAAGGTTCCACAGAGGGTAGATGGGAGTCAAGGCCAGATCTAGGTGACTTGGAAGCCATGTTCTATCTTACACGCTACCCCTTCCAGATTAAGGGAATAGGTGCGACGCTGTGATTCAGAGCCCTCAATACTTCCCAGGCTTCCAGTTTGATTTGGAAGGAGAGGAATGCAAGCTCTGACCGAGATCCCATTCTGCTCGTTCGCATAGTTTGCTCAGAGACCACAGTTTGATTCCATCTGAGCCAGGCCAGGTCAATGACCGCGGCCGATGCTCGGTCTGGACCCCCAACCCAGCAAGGCTCCGTCACGCCCCCGTCCTGTCGTGTGGGCACAAGATTCACAGGGGCACCTGCCATCTTCCGCATAAGGACAGTTTGCTGAGGATATGAACACACACCTGCGGCTGTCCTAGGGCCCCGGGTCGTGCAGTCATAGCTGTCACGGGCTCGTGCAGCCTGACAGGAAACTTGGGGCGGGAAGCCCATCACTGCTGGTGACTCAGAGCCCAGCGTCCTCCCGGAACACAGGAGCCTAAATAGTGCTCCTTCCGGGAGTCTCTTCTCCTGTCCTCCAGATTCTCCAGCATACAGAGAAGATCAGATGAATAGCCCCACTCAACCCCATTCACTGAGGCACAAAGGACACCCTATCACCCCCTCTCAACCTTCCCACTGAGTCCCCCCAAACCCTGTGCCACCACCCAGATCCTGACACGCTATTTCAGACCCCTGTCTGCCGTCTGCTCCATCACCGAACACCTGGCACAGGTGAGAGCTGGCAAGACAACTGAGAGCCTTCCCACGGTTGAAAAACAGAGCCACAAACCTCTCTGCTGGGGACCACTATTCCCCAGCGAGGGGAAGCGCAGTGGAGACTGTATTTAAGGAAGAGAGCCTGCACCAAGTAAGGTAAAAGTACATTTACTAAGGAGGAGTCTGGAGGCCCAGAGAAATCAAGGTATCTCTAGAGTTCTTCCCCAGGAGCTCTTTGGATCGTGGATGGCAGAACTACATGTTCCCACATGTTCCTCCTTCCTGTGAAGCTTCACAGTTAAGATGCCCAATGCCCTGTCCGCACAACGTCCCAAGGAAGCTCCCATCTCCTGGGGGATGCAGCCTTATGTTGGCCTGACACGGAGACTAGGTCACTTCAATTTCAGTTCCTTTCAGGGTAAAATGAAGGTAGCTGGACTGAACACTGCTGCACTGAGAGTTATTTAAACCTCCAACATTGTGACGCCAAGTGCACATTGCCAAGTGCACAGGACAATGTGACTCACGGGCGACTTTTCATCCAGCTCTGCCATGCTGGCAGCCCCCTGGTACCACGATGCCTCTCAGCCATCAGCTGCTGGCCTCCCTGTGCATGGAAACGGGGGGACCTGCGGAGATAAGGAATGAGCTTTTGGAGGGTAAAATGTGCTCACAGGCTGGAAGTGGTGCCGAGTAGAAGGAACGTTATGAGGACTCTCCGTGGTACTCTGAGCTTTTTTGGCTTCCCGCAGGGGCCACAACACAGGGCTGAGCCATGCTCCACGAGGCTAAGCCAAGAAAGGAATGGAATGGAAGAGTCCCCTTGGAACAGGATCCTGCCAGTTGCCTGGAAGGCCACCTGATTCTTCTGCTGTCACAAGAGAAGGCTCTTTCTGCAGTGGTAAAGACTTCAGTGTCAGGGTTTGTCCCAGGGCTGAGGGGACTGGGGTAGAACGCTCAAATAAGGGACAAGGCAAGCTGGCATCTTAGAAAGGTATTTACATGGTCACCAGCTATGATGAGTCACTTCTTATTTTCCACCCCTCCCGACCCTCGCACACCTGCTCTCCCCCCACGCTTCATGTCCAAGTTGTCTCGAGGACTTTTCTGTTGCTTTGTTTCACTGCTCCTTTTAGCCAGTTGCAATGTCCTAACACACTACCTGGAGGCCAGAATGTTTTACTCCATGGTCATAAACTTGAATTTAAAATCCTTCTTGTGTTGAGAATCTCAAAAAAAAAAAAAAAACAAAAGCGAGGGTAACATGAAGGAGACGAGCTCCGAAAACCAGAGTGAAGTCAAGGAGCTAACGTGCCATTGGAAGAGAAGCAGACAGAAGGAGATGCTTGAATGGAACCTATGGCAGGAAGCTCTCATTTCTTAAGGTTTGAACCATGGGTGTAGGAAAAGCCTAACTCTGATACAGGGCAACTGGGGGAGAAAAATCTCTGTGCCAGAGATTCTCTGCCTAAAAATACTTCAGGACCATAAAAGGAGGGAAAAAAGGAGTGTGACTCCCTGCTTCAAGGAAGACAGTGCTGAAAGACCGGCCTCTCTGATTCATTATGAAGCAGAGATGTCCTGCAGGAATG